ACAGCCCCAAGATAAGAATGATACCCCCAGTGAAATGGAGCAACGTTATATACTTCAAAGCCTTACACTTACACGCATAGAGGGGCCTTATTTTGCTAGAAACTTCAAAATGCTGAAGGGATAGCACTAAAAAAGGCCGACTGAATCGGCTGGCTTCATCATCCAGAGAGAGATGAGCCCCGAGCTAGATCAACTGAGGGCGCATTTTTCCTAGCAACAGGGGCTGGTGGGAATTGCACTTGGCTGGTTCACAAACAACTATGATTTTATGAATGCTACTGTCGCGTCGCTACCAACAGAATGAACACTCCCCACCAGCATGGCTCTTTTCAACCGATGAGGGGGTGCGTCTGCTCAAGGTGGATATTCAGTCCCCCTCCCCCGACGTCAAATTTTTGTCAGGAAATAAAAGCGGTAACATTTTCGACGTGGTATTATCACGCGGGGAGATGAGGAATTTATACGAGTGAAAAAAAATTAAACCATTTTCCGGAATAAGAATCCACTTGTCTCCCTCCCCCGAAATCTGGATACGCCTTTAGTCATTTCTCTGATGAATATACAAAAGCAAGGCGACTTTCAGAGGGCCAATCTTTATTGTATGCGATTGAAGAAATACACAGTTCCACTAGCTGTCCGCTTTCTTTAAAGTCTGGTCGAAGAGTAGGCCTACTTTTCTCAGAACTGTAACTTTGTGTTTACTGAGTAGCCTCAAATTATTAATTGTCATGTTAAGTCTCGAGCTTGGTCAGCTTTGATGCGTCAGAAAAATGAAAAACTAGGTCTGGTCATGGCCTCCATGGTCGATCTTGTTCACGCAAAGGCCAGCAGCTGGTCGTCTCTGTCACACAGATAGGTGTCCCCCGGCTCGTCGTGTCGGCCGCCTTTGACGGAGTACCAGATATTCCAATCCCTATTCCGCCCGTCGCCATGGTGATGGGCCCAGGTCTCGAGCTCTCCAGTTTTTTTGTTCACCAGGGCAGCCAGATCCGCTCTGCCTCGTGACGATCGGCCACGTCCCCCCGGGGGAAGCAAGTCCCAGAGTCATGACCAGCCGGCGATTCGGTCACGTCTGCTGCTGTCTGGATTTGATGGCAGTCCGTATAAGATTAACCTGATTGGTAGTAGGAGTGAAGACATCATAGAAAAACAAGTCATTTACGAAATGATTACTATTGCTTGCGGTTAAAGGGTCCGTACCAACCCCAACCCCCATTTCACTGCTGTTAGACTTCAACGGACATTCTCCGTAAACGCCCTCGTGCGGACATGAATCAAACTGAAACTGCTGGTCTGGATAGGCGCCTTTATTCTCAAATCGAAGAATGGCAAGGAAGAAAATCCCAGTTGCTGTGAGAAGACTGGCCGGACAAATAACAAGTAATATCAACATACATGTATCTTAAGATTATCTCGTTCTGCTCGCTTAACAGTAAAAAAATATTTGGAGATAAAGATGGTCGGAAAAGATCGAAAATTGGTGATAGCATAAAGTAAATTAGAAAAGTCTCCAGTCATGATCTAAGGATTATTTGAATTTGCTATACAGAATCAAGGGATACAACTTTTTTGTAGAATGGTTTCGGGAGAGGGGAAATCACTGAGGGGGGGAACTTTAGTGTTCGGACTATTAGAGAGAAGATAAGGGTTAACTCGGAACATGCCATGTCTTTCAATTTGCACAAATTTTCTTGCACCGGATGTTTTTCAGTGAGGTGAGCAACTTGAGGCAAAAAGGATTTAACCATGGACTCTGCCGAGATCTTTATCAGTGATTTTTTTCCTTTAACCTCTTCAGGGAACAACTGGCTAGCTGAGGAAGTTTAGAGTGGGACGAGGGGAAGGCTAGGAGAGCTCTCGGAAGAAGCTAGCGAGAATTTAATCAAGACGACCACGGTGTGATGTGTTGTACACTGTGCGATGGCGTCATGTGCATCGGGGAGATGCTTTCGGCACTATGGGTGTCGAGATCGCGCGATGTGATTCCACCGGGCCGAATTTCCACACGGTCGTCGTGGACTTGCAGCCAGCATCGGAATGTGGAGAGGTAAATGTGACGCGCGGCTATATCCTGCTCATGCGCACCTCGCCAAAAGTTTATCTCAGCATAGGGAAAATAAGCTCGTTTTACCTCGAGAGGTATTGCATGTTAATGTCAGCCTGGGTCCACTTCCGTCTTGTTTTTATCCCTTAAGGTTTGTGAAGTTGATACCGTTGATCCTTCACTTATGGGTCACGCTTAATAATTAAAGTTGAATATCCTATTTGGCGGTGGTGAACATGGTGTAAATAAAGTGTGAGATTTTGCCGCCGTTTTTCTAATCACTCGGAGTGACTCCATTTAATTTATCCGAGGTACCACAGAAATAAAAGACCGGTCCGTTTACAGCATCTAGGTTAATCCCCACCAACTGAATTCAGTCCGGTGTGATAACGAGAAACATGCAGAGAAACCGTTCCCGAGCACAGCTGTCCTAATAACGAGCATTTTGGCCAGGGACGTTGTAGGATTGTCCCCGGTGCGGCTGAATGAAAGCGAGACGCCGAATTGATTTTTGGTGGCGTGGATGATTGCGGCGTGTTAGTTTACCCTAACGTTTATCGCTTATTGCCGCTCAGTGTCACGCTGCTTCCGCACCGGGAGCCAGGGACGACATCGAGGAAAGTGAATGGCTGAATGGATCGGGGAAGGATGTGGTGTGATGTCTGGTTTCTGTTGGCGGGTTGGTGTTTGGTTGGTCGGTTGGTAGGTAGGACGGTCGGTTGGGTGATTCAAGTTGGTTGGTCGGTTGGTCAGTCGTTTGTTCGTCGGTAGGTTCCTTGGTCTGTTGGCTGGCTGACTTTGAGGCTGACTGGTTGGTTGGATAGTAGGATTACCTTTAATGAGCAGAATGCATAGGCCTAGCCGATTGGTTGGTTGAAATATTTTGCTCGGGTTAGCCGATCGCTATCCTTGCAGGATTTGTTCATTGGGGCTGAGTGTCACTTGAGGCAGACTGCCACTCCGCGTGCTATCCATTGAGCTCAGCCGGTATGTAACTTTGTTTGGCTTTCAAGTCGGTTCACCAGTTTGCCCGTTAGCTTTCAAATCCAGCCACGATTTCCGAGCAGACGTCTCAATTTTGCCCATCTGGGATTAATGATGGCATCGCGTAAAGGTCGAGAACTGAGTCAAGGGTCCGTCTCACCTTGACATTATAAAAAGAATGTTCGTCTTGAAAAGATAAATAGCTTTCATGATGCTCGTAGGTCTAGTTGGGAGGATGGATTTCCTTTTTCCGAGGCAATTAATCCCACTCGTGGTTATAAGCATTTGATTCATTTATCCGTGAAGACAGGTCCTTCACGATACTGGTTGTCCGTCGGAGAAAATTGTCTGGATGAGCGGGGGAGAGATGGTTATTCAGTAAGACGATTTGTACTTCCTACAAAAGGTATACTACACGAACCTGTCCTTTATTGTCTCGTGTGGTGACGATTCCATTTCATAAGAATGTATCCTTTTGAAAAAAATGCCTGTTTGCCGTCATTTAGAGGCAAATTCATAAATCCATACCTTCTGAACTTCTTGGGTTTGGCAGTTGCTTGCTAACGCACTGCATAGTTTTATTTCAGTGAATACAGTGCTTCAACCACGGCACAAAAATTGTCTCATATTTGTTTTGAATCAACAGTCGTGGTGTCGCTGATTATGTCGATTCTTCTTTGGTGTAGAGAATACGGGCGATTCACAATAGTGCGCCTCCAAGATTTGCAACCCGTGGACCAATCACAGAGCGCGAAACCTGTCGACCGTTATCAAACGCGCGTTGGGTCGACAGATTTCGCGCACTGTGATTGGTCAACGCGTTGCAAACTCTTGGAGGCGCACTGTTGTGGTGAAACCAGTGTGAGCGATGCCGTGTTATTCATTTGAGCTTTGTATTACTGTGATGTGTCCAACCCTCCATATCACCAGCTTTTTTCCGCCCCCCTGTGGCTGTGCAGGCATTCTCTACCTGTTCTGTCGAGCTGTTGTCAGCGAAGAGTAATCAAGTTAATTTCCGCTGCACACGGGTTCCTGATTGCACACAAAGTCACGTTTTTCCCCTGACGAGAACCACCCGGTGTTGATTAAACCGACTGCTTAGAAATGAATGTTAGTTCTTGGACGTATATGGGGAGCATTTATCCCTTTGGTCTGAGCGCGAGCCCCGATTTATATCAGTCCGTCTAAGAGGATCGAACGTTTTGTTTTTATAACCTGGGTAGGTTGGAACTGGGACCTGTCTAATCCGTTAAATTAATTCGTGAAAGTGCATGTGGTTATTTTGTGCCCGAGAATTTTAAGGGCTCTGTTTTGTGTAACTGTTTGGCACACAGATTTTTTTTCTGCGAACAGGAAAGGTATGTTTGGTGAAGACAAGAAACCGACAAAATTGCCGTGTTTGTGATGAGTAATTTTTGTTTGGCAATGCCCTCTTTCGCTCAGAAAGTCTGTGCCATTTGGCCTCGAGAGGCAACCGGAGAGAACTCTGTACGTAATATTTTTCATTAAAGTAAATGGTTCATGGGCTGAATGTACATGTATAGGGTATTAAGGAATAATTTACATAAGTTTTATTTCATATTAATAACCGTGCAAAAGCTTTGCCAATAATTGAAATACTCTATATTCAGTAATTATATTGTCGATTAATTGAATACTTATTTTCGAAATTAAGTATGCAGAAGTGAAAATCATTGAAGCAAAAAGGGGAAAATTCAGTTATTTGGTTACAAAATTGACTTATAAAAGCGTAACACAAAGGCAGTTAATATGCCCAATAGCTAGGCCAAAATTACTTTTCCTTCAAGGTTTTCCTTTTCATTTTTTATATTTTTTCTGTGTGAGAATTCGGTACCACTGAAATTTCGAATAAAAGAATGGAAGATCGAATATTCGACCACAGTTATTCCAATTGACAAGGCACAACATTGTGTATAATGCACCATGGTTTTCTTCATCAAATCAGATGTTTGTAACTGCCACAGCAGTTCATGGAAATAAACACGGCATATACACATATTTCCGATTTCCCATGATGAAGATTTTGTGAAAATCTGATATAGCAATCCAGTAACAAAATATCACATAATAATCAAAATGATGAAAAAAGTCAACGAGTTGGAATCAGATCAATGTGGAGACGTCTTTGGTAAATGGAAGACACTTATGATTGCACAGCTTTCAAAATAAAACTTGTTTTGGATGATTTATATCCCCGCATCACTTGTCGCCAGTCTTTTTGCCAGCAGCTCCATTTCCGATGGGCGGCGCTTTTGATCCATCGCCGCGCCCCGTACGCGCCTCGTGTCAAAACATGGGCTGCTGTGACGCAAGCCTCGGTCGAAACACACCAGTCGTCCGTTCGAGCGTGATGGCGTCTCCTCTTGAGATTCCAACTGCGAGTGGGACATTTCAGGAGACAGTCCGTCGGAAGAACAACAACACTGTGAGGACGATTACTGTTTACATGTATAGGAGGAGGAATTGGCAAAAAAATCAGAAATTAAATAGTCACAAATCAAATATGCAGACTGACCAACACTGTGTTACCAACAAACCAGCCTGAAATTTACCCGGTTGTCAATAAGCCCAGCCGTCAGTATATTTTCTCTTCTTAACCATTCGCTTTACAAAGACACTAAGCAGTTTTTATTCCACACCATTTTTTGCGTTGTAAAAGAAATTAACGTTGAATGTAAAAAAAAATAACGTCTAATGTCTCTGTCTATTCCCATTGGCACGTGGTTTGATATCGGATTCAAAATTAACTTGGGTGGGCGGTTTGAAAGTCTTTCAAAGAAAATGTCGCATCCCGCCTTTTCTTTTTAGTTTGCTCTTTTTCGATCCAGAAAAATCTATACTCCCGTCATAAAATCCTCAAACCTTGCCAGGACATTGAAGTTGGTTTTGCTCGTCTGTCACTCATTTCAATGTCATTGCCAACAATTGCACCACCTGCACCTGATGACGTCATTTTTTTCCCTAATTGTTCTCATCAAAGTTCGCTAGTAACTAATTGGAGCCCGTTATGTGGCTCTATGTTAATGTATGTTTTATTCCTCAAGTTCTCAAATCGCAGTCTTTAAAATGGCATTGCTAATTCATGGAAAGAACTCGAGAGAACGTCTCGAGTGATGTAGCACTGTTGATGGGATTCGAGAAATCAGCCTGTCTGATCACGATTCCTAACTTCCCTTGTACAACGCTCACCTGTCTCGCACCCTAATTGAATCGATGTTATTTGCCCCGCCATGCGAACTGCACGCCGTCCCTATCCGGGCTGTGGTTCGCTCAACTCGCGTGCTGACTTACCGCAGCGACACGCGTGCGCGTTCAGCACTTTGGGGTCACATGCGATTGCCAGTCAACCTTGTTCCCGTGGATACGATCTTGTTTCGCCATGTTGGTTTCCACGTTGCAGTGGGCGATCTTAGGGAAGGAACGCGCACGCAGCCCATGGAGTTGAGGTTGAATGCCAGTAGTTTTGTGCTTGAACAAACTTTGCATGAGTGGCAAATTGGCCTGTGTAATCTCTGCGTGACGCACCGTCCTCTCTCATAGAAGTTGAGGGAGCGGGTCCGACCATGGTATCTCCCCGTAATATCTTGATTTATTCACTCGCTCAATTTAGTATCCCCATCAAGCTTCATGTTCGATAAATTGCATCTCTATGCTTGACGTATTAGCTGGTATATGAGTTGCACTTAACGTTCAAAACATCAATCTATTGTATAATTGAATTTTATATTCGAAATGCATTTTTATTAATTTGCCAGACATGTCGTAGAGTATATTTTTCTGCATTTACAATAATGAAAACTCAGTGAAGAACATTTGGAAGATTCGTCATCAAAATACTTATTTCTATCTTAAACTTCTATCAATGCTTAAAGATGCTCAAAGGTGATCCCATCATTTATGTCACAACTATCCTTCATCTCCTGTGGTATGTTTTCTTTTTATCCGAGGTTATCATTGTTGTCGCATTCTGTAACTCGTCCAAGATTCGACTGATGTTTGTCCAATACGGGCAGAGAAAAGCTCTGATATCAATGTCAACACCGATATTGATAATCATTCATGATCTCCGTGCTGTATGACGGCCAGCCACCCAGCTCCTCTTGGTGGCCAAGTAGTTTTCCGTTATGTGGGGCGAATTGTGACCAAAGCGCTAGTCGATGCGGGTGTAGGGCCCACGGCACCTGGCTGCTAGAACATAACACGGGGTGACGATTTCCCCCGGTATCAAAAATCGCATAGGTAATGGAATTGCTCGGACTTCACTAAGTAGGGAGGGGAGCGCCAGCGCTACAAAACTTATGAAATGAAATTGGTGTTAACTTTACACCTTGGGTGTTATTGCATAAATACAACCAGTTTGGTGTAGTCCTCTGGTAAACCCGGAGTTGGTGATGTTTTGACCGCATTAAACCTCATTGAATGTGGTGTGTTAAGTCAATATCTCCAAACGATGCACAGATTACCATTGAAACCTTTCAGGAAGAAAATATGGCCATCATTAGTGGCTGTCTCGTTTGTGATAGTGTTCATTAATCGCCGGCTCAATCCCTTCTCCGGTTCACTTTTTCATCATCTTTCTCGGGCCCTTTTACATGGCTGTTATCAAAATGTTTTAAATGCCCCCCCTTCAAATTGCGCTGGAGGCGTTCGGTTTCAGACAGTCAAATATAAACGGCCGTCGAGGAGCGTCTAAATATTTGCCCGTTGCGGGCTTGGAGATTTAATTGGCGCGTCGGATATCACGGCAATGGAAATGCTCTTTGCAGAGTTCGCTTTCATATCGGCCTGCAAATTTGGGCTCCGATCACAATTTGTGAGGGGAGAATCCGCCACCGCCCTCACGTAGATACCGGCACTCTCGGCCCGTGGCGCCCCGGTAAACTCCCGGAGAACTTGGCTTGGGATTCGGTACTCGCCAAGTTGATTCGAGTTAAGAAAACATGTAAACACAAGGCAGATCGGCGTGTAGAGGACAGGTATGACTGGACGGGCGCAAATTGGTCGGGGAAAAACAGCAATTTAAACCCTCCTCAAAAATGGTCTGCGCAAATTGATTCTGAAATCGACTCTCTTCCTTGCAGTCGACAGTCTGTCATGTAGTTACTCCAACCCTGTTTATTTTACCAATTTTATACACAGTCACTTCAGATTATAGTTGAGTAGCATCGTTGTAACTAAATTGTAGTCTTGTCATTGTAATGAAACATGCTTTACTCATTCTTCACTGAGCTCCCCCCCCCCGTTCATGGCTGAGCTTCTACTCAACATATCCAGACGACAAACAATACGAAGATATGTAAAACAGCCGACCATGTTTGTGGAATGCTGTGACACTTGTTTCACCGCCATGACCACAGTTAAACAGACTCAAGTTCTTGATGAATTGGTTTAAATGTACGGCAAGGATTCTGATAATGATATATGGCACCTTTTGGAAACTTGTAGTAGAGATCCGGTCAACTATTATTTCCATATACCTTCAACAAGCCTTCGCATTTCTTACGCGTTTTTATCACCGCCGAGCCCCAGTGATGAAACACCACAGACGCAGATGTCAAAATTGGAGGGAGCTGCACCGCCCCCTTGGCTCACAGTCCCAGTGACGCCCCTCTCCCTCTGACGTCAGCAGTTTGTATTGGACTCAGGTGCAGCCGGGTCGCTTCTCCTCAAGGACAGCCATTTAAAGAGCAGCTAATTCTATAAACCATCTAAATAAAAACATCCAGCATCTGGCGCTGCAAAAATATGCCGAATGTATACCGTATCATGTTGCTGTTTACTGCTTAAGGTCAGCATTTCGTACAGCAATATCTTTATGCTATGTATATGGTCCACTTTCCTGAAAGTACCGATTGTCAAGAGTGGATGCAAAAGGACGAAGCTTCAGACAAAAGGTATAGGATTGAATTGAAGGCCAGCTCGTACTTGGCGCGAAGACACAAACGCGAAATTGTGGCCTTCTGATCGAGTCATAGTGCTGCGAATTTTCACAAGTTGAACGCATTTCAAACCAGGCGAATTAAGTTCGCAATAAATGCGTTGAGGTGTCAGATTGGCTTTGATGTCATGTAGGCCTAAAGTATATGAACCGGTCTCAACCTTCCTTTTAGCCCCCTACGCATTAATGCAATTCAGCCAATGCTGCACGGGTTTCCTTACAGCTTTCTTGTACCGGTACTCAGCAAGGTCTTCTACTGAACGTTTGCTCCACTGGGAGACTTTGAGACACTTGGTGGCGGTAGACAAAGGGGCCTTTTGTCAGTTCTGGGCATGCGCGCGCTGTTCAGGACATCCGTGGTAGTTCTGAGCACGCGCAGAACTGTGGACCGGTTTGCCTGCCGCCACCAAGAGTCTCAAAGTCTTCCATTTAGGACATTCAAGTGGATACTGCATTATTCATGTTTACTACAACCACGTGATTGTCATCAAGATTTCCTCATTGAGACAGAGATAACTTAACCTTGTGGGGTCCCCATACTGAACCAGAAAAAGTGTTGCCTTAAAAGGTTACCTTTTTTTACCTTCCAGCTCGATCTGAGTAATACTGCGCAGCTTTCAAGTTGACATCACCAAGTGTTCGGTTGTGAATAGATGAAGTAAAAAGCGAAACAGCCTTCGGACTGAAGGTAAGTACCATTCATTGAGTACAGAAGCGCGTATGTGACCATGGAACCTTTGCCTCCTTACTGAGATTATTAATTTATATCGTAGAAACTCTGCTTTTCGGTGATAATAAGCATTGAATTTCGTTTTATATGATGGAATTCCCTGTTTCCGAAAAAAGGTGGCGGAAAATTATTTCCAGGATAGTTAGTTATAAGTTGGCATTAAATTTATCATGCATTTCGGACAACATTCTCGTTGAATGCTGTCTTGGTCTTTCTCTAACAAATTTTCTCCACAGACTTCCGTATAACAAAGGCCTTGTTTACGATCAAAATCAATGAATGTTTACGGTGAGCCACTCCGGTATCGTCTTGGTGGCCATAGTAAGGATGTTGTGCGTGTAATTACGATGATTCAGCTGGTCGTTTGGATCGAAGCGACCGAGGCCAAACGCACCACAGCAGTGTAGCCCACATTGCGGTTCAGTGGACCGGAGGGCCAAATGTGCTGAGAATATATGGCGATGGAGCACCGTTCGTGCCATCTTAGACACTGCCCGCCATGGGTCCCATCCCAAAATTAAGCCCGAGACCGGACTGGTTCTGAAAACAAAATGAAAGTTGAATGAAACATGCAGGTCACCTTGCGTGTGGCATAATGGGCGCTGCATCCGACCGCGACATGCACAACACGCGGGCGAACGTGGCTAAGAATGTCTCGGAGCAAATTAAACTTTGCTTCGTCATTTTCTGCACCCAGCATCTCGGAGGATTGATAAGTCTCGTAAAATCTTGTGATATCAGCAATGAACCGAAGATCAGTTTGGGCATGGCTTATTCAGTGCACCGAACTTGGAGAATGAGACTTTACAGTGAATATTCCAGTCATACATCAATAATGAGACACAGTTCCAATATAAATAGACTTCTCTCTGTAGGCAAAAGAGTTAACATTTCACTCTCAAAAAAGTAAGTCTTTAATATAAAAACCATTTGAAAAACATTGAAAACCACGCCAAACGAGTGAAATTTCCCCTCTGCCAAGGAGCCAAAAGAGTTGTCCTTCATCGTGGTTTCTCTTTTAAAGTGATTTTTCACTCTTTTGGAGTGGTTTTCACCCTTTGTAGAGTGGTTTTTCACTCTTTTGTGGTAAATTTATGAAGAGACTCAGTCTTTTTGGAGGGGGATTTTCACTATTTTCCCATGTCTTAGATGCCCATGTGTAGAGCGTTTGGGTGTCAACATTAATTAGTGCTCTGCAGAAATATTCCGTTAAATTGCTGCTTCTGGACAGCACATTCTGAAAGAAGTCTGCATCTTCAAACAAAAGCACTTACTGCGCTCCGCACTCAGTTTGGTCTTTTATAAAGTTTGATTGAATAATATTTGCTCCAACTTAAAAGAATCAATCTTTTAGTCCGTTTTTGATGCTGATTTTTGGGATGCCGTACCCAAAGCTCAGAAATGTCTACCGTCAGCATTTTTGTGCACGCGTGGCTTTGTTGCACACCGGAAAAAAGGAGTGCCAAACTTGCATGCATATCGTTACCACGAGCGTTAGACCTCATTGCCTTGTAGCACGCGACTCTATAGAGAAAACTTTGAGTTAGCCCCCACGCCCACCGATGCAGCAAACATCTAACTGTGGCTTGAGTGATTTTTCATCGACTCATGGTGCTGGTGCATTGGATGATGGGCTTTCGTCAACAACGTTAACGCCATCGCAACCACGACGTTGATGACCGTGGTCGATGCTGATGACATGCGTGCATCTTGGGACCAATCCCAATGTTACGGCCTTCACTTTCGGCCCTCCCACGACGCATGCACTGTGCTATCGGCGCAGAATCACTGCTTGCGCGCACCTCTGACTTGCTCGTTCATTCATTGGATCCCGAACCATCGCCGCTCCGAACGCACGACTGACACGCTACAGCCAGTACAACCAATGACGAGGGAGTCTCGGGAGTGAATCACCCGATTCCAGATAAGGCACGTTCTCGGTTTTTGAAGTATTCATACAGTACCCCCAATATAGCGCAGGCATAGCGTGGCTTTTGACAGGTCGGTGATAAGGTGCCAAGCCTGAAATTAAACACCGCTTTGGAAGAAGGATCTATTGACACGTGGGTCTCGCACAGCAGAGATATACCATTCTGTTGCTGGAGCAAGGTACGTGATCACTGAAACAGACTCTATGTCCAGTGGGCATCTGAACAGAGTTCCGCGGACCTGGAAACACAGCTATTCCCGCTTCACAGATAGGATGATGTAAAAGGAGATCACAGGACTCCCATTCCGACTCGTAAGTATCGACGGATTCTAAAAGACTGCTTTGTTTGGGGTCTGGGATCCAAGTACAGTACACCAATTCTTAGAGTCCAGCAAAGCCTTTACCAATTCCTTCTAATTAAATACAGATGTTGTTTATAATGCAGTTTTTAATACCTCTTTCGGGAGCCAGACATTTGAAGAACGGCGACGGGATTTTTCTCCACTCCAAGGCATATGCAAAATGTAGCTCAGATCTGATGTCAATTTCATGGTATTTGCTACTAATGCTGGTAGGTTTAAAGGTAACAGTGGTACGTCGGACGTAAAATGTGTACGTGTGTGTACAATGCTTTTAACCATCAGTCGTCGGTGACTGAAGACTGTTCGCGCGCCTGTTTGGTTGGGCATGTTCTAATTGCTTGTAAACAGGTATCGATTCCCGTTTTCCTCCTCGACTCTTACGTGTTTTTTCTTCACCGACGTGCACAGTGTAGCAGCAAACAACGAGGCAATTAGCCTGACACATTACGAGCATCAGGTTTCGTGTTCAAAAATGCTCCCCCCTCCGAAATGCAACATTAACGAGTTTTCATTTCCTTCGTCTCTTCTTTTGCAGAAAACTGATGTTCAATCGCGAGCTACCCTGTCTGTATTATTTTGGGCTCCCCTCCCTGCGTATCTGCCGCAGCTTCAAACCCAATATCGCCAGCCCGTCAGGCGTAACTCTATCTCAAGCCAAACTGCTGAACGGTTGAAATCACATCCACGGACCCAATTTCCCCCTGTCTATCTGTTCTCTCTCTCTCTCTGTCTCGGATGAAAACCTTAGAAGAAGCAATCACGTCGAAAGAAACGTGCAAACAAGAATGCGCAATTCTGTCTGAAGTGCGCCCCGCGAGAAGGCGACTCCTCTATTTTGTTTACTGGGACAGCCGTTTGATTGCGAATGCAGACTCCGCTCCCAGATCTCCTGCTCCTATCGACTGAGCGTGACCACGCTGCCGTGATTTATGTTCTCGAAATTTGGCCCTAAATATAAACTTTCTGGATTTTGCGGAGACCACAAACACGCCTACAGAACTACCGAGGACCCTTAGATCCTACAAACAACACACACAGAAATTGCTCCGCCTGAAATCACCTTAGGTTGGAGGATTTGACTTGAGACCTCGATCCGGAATTGGCACATGAATTATTTACCTTAGAGTCTGATCGCCTGGAAAAAAAAACAGAAGCAGTGTGCGCGCGCGCCATGCATTCCCACGGTTTTCAGACCTTCGTCCAAGTGGCAGTCTGCGCCCTGCTGTTTCAGCACCTGGGACTCTCCCCTCCGGCCGCCTGGGCATTGCGGACGGCCTCAGAATGGCCCAGCCGCAACAAGACCCCGATCTACATCGCCGGCTTCTTCCCGTTCAGCGACTACTTCAACGACATGCTCGTCAACTCCACGGAGATCGCCATCGACCACGTGAATGAGTTCCAGGACCTGCTGGCGGATTACGAGCTACGAATGATCTGGAATTGGACACAGGTAAGACCACAAGACCAACGTTAGTACCGTCACTCTTTTCATGTGGTTGCTGTTTTGTAAACGAGTTTGCTTCTCTACAGATATTTACTGAGTTGTAGACGAGATGCAAAGTGCAGTGTGCACTTCCAAGATCAAAGATAATTTGCCTATCTCATATCAGAGTGGATCAAATAAGTGAAAATGGCCTCTCTTTTTGCGTGAACAGAAAAAAAAAGTAGATCCCAGTAATTCATGCTTTACAGAAGGCTACATGTCTCTTGAAAGTTGAAATTCAGTGCGCGTGTCTTTGTGCTCGGTGAAATAGGCCTACTGGCTTTGTTTTTGTAAAGTGTCAGATCTCATAAACGAGAATGCTCATAGTTCTGGGGCGCTGCGCACAAAAGCGGAGAGAATACGGATGATTCACAATAGTGAGCCCCCAAGAGTTTGCAACGCGTTGGCCAATCACAACGCCCGAAATTCGTCGACCCTTTCTGAACGCGCATAGGGTCGACAGATTTCGCGCATTGTGATTGGCCAACGCGTTGCGAACTCTCGGTGGCACACTATTGTGAACCGCCCGTATTGGCGACAGCACCCCAGTTGAAATTATCGATTCTTTACCACAAGTTTTAGACAGTAGCGCGAGTATGCGGGGATGTGCCCCAAAGCAGATGCCCATGCTTCCCCCCCCCCGCCCCATTTGAAGTCTTTGAACAACGTCTCTTGTTAAATGGAGCTGCAGCTTGTTTTCTGGTGGTGCCCCCTTTAAAAAAAATGTGTGCATCCCCGGGTGTCCCCCGGAAATTTAGCCCCGGTTATGCCACTTGTTTTGAGAAACCACAAGAACAGATACATTTATATTGCAAAGACACATATTTCCCTGGTCATTAATTTCTCCGTATGGCCTGTCGTCAGTATGTCGTACCCCTGAACCTCCATTATCTTCAAATGCATCGCTCAGCTTGACCGTCCATACTTATATCAACCGAAGAGTCGGTTTAGTATTTCAGTATTGTAAAGCCTGAATGCACATTCTTCTGTAAAACCTCAGCACCACTGTTTCGCCCTTCTGGGCCCGCCATTAAGTCGGCGTACATAATTTCTCCCCATGAAAACTCCTCGATTATTCATTGACCGTGGCCACTTTCACTTGGATAATAAGGGGGATATCAATTTGACGTTTTTACCTTTCAGTCCGTTCGGTTGGTGATCCCATTAATAATGCAGCTCACGGTTTTTCCTTCTCGGCTCATACACTTTTCACTTGCTTCACGAGTCAGCGAAATGCGATATGATTGTTCTGGACAGGCCGAACTAAATAATTGATGTGACGCTCTATAGTTTGGTCTCAGTATCAAAATAAGTGATGATAAATGAAGCCTAGTGGGAGAACAATGAGAGATTGTCAGAGCATAATATAATGTCTGCGATCGTCTCTGGTTTGGATTCGAACATGAAATATCACGACATTGTTGTTCGTCAGAAAGTCGAATTAAATTGCAGACCCAGCGATCCAGGCGTAAATCGCTTTCCTTCGAAGAGACACGTGCATTTTCCTGTCTGAACTGCAAAGTCGCATCATGGATATTTTGATAAATTTCTCCAGCTCGCACTAGTAAAGCTTCTAGTTTACTCTTACGCCTTACAAAAAATGACCGTCAACGCTCATGGCCGGCAATCATCCTATCAGGCCGATAGCGTATGTCGGTATCCGCGTCCCGCTATTCCATTGTTAGTGCATTGGCGTCATTTATTTTGAGGTCGTATTTAGGCCTCGCAAACGAGGTGTTTCCTTCCATGGGGTCGGGGTTATCTCCTTTACGGACCCATTGCTGAGTTGATGCTTGGCACATGCGGTGCAAAAATTGCCGCTCTTATATAATGCTAAATATTTTATCAATAAAGGACTTCTCGAGAGACAGGCACAGTCAAATATCATTACATCTTCGCCGTCCTTGCGTCTAGTCAGATGTAGGATCGCTAGATTTTCAGGGCCACCAAATAATCATCCGGGGATATAGTTGTGATTCCTGATCTCGTCTCCTTTTTTTACGATCAATGCATGATCGGAGTAGTTCATCTGTTGACTGGTGCACTTGGTGGCAAGTCGTCAGATAGGTCGTATTGGATCCATGAACTAAAAAATCGGCATATATAAAGGAAAATGATGCCGTCAATTATTAATAAAACTTCCTGGGATAAGAGCCCGAAAATTCTGCGTTCACTGTTCTGTAATACCCCTCTAACGCGCGGATGTTCGTATGATACACTCGAGTATACAGGCGTTGCTTGGTAGCCATCTTGCAGGACAGTTCTTTTGTTAAGGAAAACTTCCTCTGTGCATACCCTGTGGAACACAAGCACTGGCCAGCAAGATGGCAGCCATGCAAACCCTGTATTTTCCGTATATAACGTACTCTCTATACCCATTCGCTGGGATAGATATAATCCCATGACCTTAAACGATATCATGAGTGACGTTCAGTGTACACCCCGTGAAAAAGGGCCGTAGAACAGTAACCAACTTTCGATATGATGTGGGTTTGACGATTTCAGCTGTGCTTTTCCTCAAAATATACGCATAACGAAGCAATTGGACTAGTCTATACAATTACCGCACGTGCAATCGTCGGACGAAAATGACACGGAACGCTTTCTGCAATCACTCGATATTTTCTCTGCAAACAATCCAGCATTTAAATTCTCTCCATATGTTTATGCGACCATATAGACTACATTAACGTCCATTACCGGTAGAAAAGGAGAACGAAGTGTACCCAAGATGTACCCAAGAAGGATACCTGGACGTTCCATCATTTCTTCGGTCTAAGGCATTAAGCAGTGTTTAATCTGACGTCTAACGGCAACAACACCTTGAATTTTTCAAATTAATTATTACAATCAAATTATATAATCACATTTCCGTCCTTTAGGTGCAAAGTCCACCCAATTTTGACCACTCATCTTCTGACTCTACCTCTGTGGAATCTAAAAAAATATTCTGAGTGATTAAACTTGGACGCTGGGGGATACCCACAACCCTCTAAGTTTTGTGTAAATCCCATAGGATTTCGTTAAGTTGGCATGGTTAGGGCTGACAAATGGCCAGGCTGCGAGACGCACGGTGTAAGGAAAATTGCCGATGACGTCACAACGTGTGACGTGTCAGGCGCATCAAAAGATCTTAAGATGCTATGATGCCCTATGGAAGTCAAGTGGACATCAATCAGCTGTGTATGTAGTTTAAATAATTCTGAGGACCACCGGAAGGCAGCAGCGCAGCAAATGTTCGATCATCCGCCGGCCCCATCTACTACGCTCCGTACTCGCCCCCCTTACAACCGCGTGTTTTCGACAAGAGGGACCTCCAAATTAAAGTGCCTTCCACTTACCGCGCAGAGGGCACCACCCCCCCCCCTCCGCCAACGATACAAAATGTCGCTCGTCATAGTTCCGTATATTGCGGGGGAAAATTCCACCTTGAAACCATTCGACGGGAACCGACAAAATCGAAGCCCGCCGAGGCTGTCTCGTCCTTGTCCCCAGGGGTGCGTCATTTCGTCGATGCTTATTCATTTGGGCACGGCTAATTTGTTTTCGCTTATTAGCTGTCGACAAAACAAATGACATATGCATGTATGCCCTTTTAAGCCCTGCAATAATTGCTCTATCGAATGGAGACGGTCAGAGATGCATCCTGCGCTCAACCACTGGAACGTATGCCTGACCGTGTCTGTCTTGAGGCGCCTTACAAATGCACGTCAACTGTCTTGCGCTCACTGTTGCATATTTGTTGCATAATCACAACCAGGGCGATTGTGGCGGCCGAACAGCATGCACACGTGTGTTATGTTAATGGGAGTCGATTTTGAGGTCCGTGAAAGTGAAATGCGTGAATGCATCGTGTACGCAACGCACCCGAAAAATGTACATGTAGAAAGGCGCCGCCAGGAGGATGTCGATACGTTTGTGCGTCGGGCCGGAATTTTCAGACCAAAAGAAAAAAATTACCGTCCAAATGACCGTAAACCTCGGGGTTGAAGACCGTGCACCTTAGTACAGGGCCAATCGTTACCACTTGGTGTTCACAGCACCGTCAGTGTTGATTCAACACTAGTTTTTTTTTCAGTGTAATTATTGCCAAGATGACCTTCCCCGACTTAATTGTTGTTAGGTAAATCAATATTGGGATTATACGTCTATGTCGTTATGAATACATCAGGTCTTCGCCCCACTGGTCTACGAAATGCAGTAATTCTGTAGGTATAGTTGAGTTGAAATTCCACATTTATAGAATATCTTCACAGTGATGTCCATGTCCTTCTGTATCGAACCGTATCCACTGAATAATTAATTCAGTACCAGTGCCGTCCGATGTTATCCTAACATCGTGGCTTTACGGTCTATATTGTTTAACCCCCTAAAAATTCATCCTTCGATTTCATACACGCAGAAATTGTTCTTCAGCATACAAACATACATCAATGGTTTCAATAACTCCATGTCAAAAAGTAGAGTTTGAAAAAAAAAACACGTCATGCCATCAGAATATTTTTTTTAGAATAAAGATTTACAGACTCTGGTCTTTTTTTTTTGCCGGAGTGACACTTTCGGACGACGTAAATCTTTATGTTCAAGGGAGCAAACTTTCTTTATATTTGGGTACTGCAGTTTGCCGGCGTGTAGAGGCTCGGAAGGCTAGAGGCAAGTCTGGGAGCGCTTCGCAATTGCTACTTTTTTTTATTACTGCATAAAGCAATGATTTAAATAATCGACCGAACCTCCTTCTCAGGGCTAGCCGCAAATAATGCCCCCGGTGCGCACAAGTTCAATCCCTGTTCGTTGCCATGCGCAGCGATTATTATTAATTCGGTCATGAAAAGAATCAGGCCAGACCTTCTCTTCGCCATTGTGGCTGAAAAAATTAGGAGCGTCTGGGGGTGTTTTCGTGGTGCGGCATCGTCCTAATTCGCACGGCGAACTCAATGGTGAAGGCAAGATGAAGATAACGGCGCGTT